CACCTTCAACTCGTCTTTGCTCCTTGCTTTCTATATTGGCTACTAGTGCCACAATGATCTCCCTTGTAAGACCCTGGATACCTTTAATTGGCCTAAGAAGAAAGTAATAAGGATAAAGTTAAAAATATATATTATTTCCTGATTTAGCTCACCACTAAATTTTCTCCGATTCGTATTGGTCTAAACTGATCATGTGATGCAATAGTGGTTGTTCGCAGAGAGACACTATCAGCCCATAGTGCCCTTCTGCGGAAAATACTCCGATGGATAGAACTAGTGGATTTTTGTTTTCTTTTTTAAATTTTACACTTGAAGGGGTACGTGGAAAAATGCCCAAAGTCACTCTTGATCTCATGTCATATTCTCCTTTTTTGTACAAGTTAGTGAAAAGCTCTTTGCTAGGAGAATCTTGCAGCCTATCAGATGTCACTCAGGGTCTTTTACCATGCACCCCTTCATTTCCATGGGGCAACTGTCAACCGATAGTTCCTTAACAGAAACACTCTTAACTATTGCTTAAATAGAGCAAATTCAATTGGAGACAGAGTGTAATTCAGTGACACAGCCACAAGGGGTACCTTTGAACATTTGTCAAGTGGTAAAGTCTGAGCAAGAAATCTACAATCCCTCAATCTCTCCCACCCCCAAAAAGGAAGAGTTCGCTATTGCACGAACCTGTTCACATCTAGCTTTGAAAAATCTCTACATTCTTTGTACCATGGCATCCAGTCCTCCAAAGTCCAGTCAAGCATAGCTAAGTTATTTTTCTTTCTTGTCTCCTCATCTGCAATAGGTCAGTAAAGTTTTAAAAGTCAGCTTACATATGAGTGCACAATAATGTGATAATAGTTAACACAAAAATTCACTTGACAAAATATTCTTCAATTTTCAATTCCCACATCAGTCAGGAGGTTTGTTAAAAAGACTTTGGTATCAAATGTACACTGTGGTAACTCTATCACTTTAGCCACTATGAAAACACAAAAGTCCATTGTCATAAACAGAGGTCAGATTAAGGGGGAGGCAGAAGGTGGGGTCAAATAAAACTACAGTTAGTAGATAATTTGAATTGTATCTATATTACAACATTATCAATGAGTTGCTCTTACCCAATCTTCTCCCATCATTAGCTTTACGCCAGTTGAGAACAGTCTTGACCACTTTGGCCTCTGTTTCATGCTTGTTATCCTCCATGAACTTTAAGACACCAACAGAGAAGAACTTCTCACAGTCAGGAACAGACTG